AAAGGAGAGAATTGTGCTACAGAGATCTTTAAAGGGGCCAGAGGAATACCCAAATACCTTACCGGGAAGGATCCTTGTTGGAAGTCTACCAATTGTAAGATATGTGGCAACTTATTTGCAATGTTACCCCCTACAAAGATATTGGATTTGTCTTGATTGACCATAAGGCCAGAAGCCCTACTAAAGTCATGCAAAGAGTCCACCAATATCTTTATAGATTTAGGTTCACCTTTAGAAAATAACATCAAGTCATCCGCATAAGCTAAGTGAGAAATCTTTAGTTTAGAGCATAAAGGGTGATAGCAAAAGTTAGGGTTAGAGGTCCTAATTGCTAACATCCGAGATAAGTACTCTAAACATAGCACAAATAACATGGGAGACATAGGGTCCCCTTGCCTTAAACCCCTCTTTCCTTTAAACCAGCCATGCAGGACCCCATTTATGGAGATAGAAAAGGAAGAAGTAGTGACACACTCCATTATCCAACCTACAAAGATGTGTGGCAGACCTATACCCCTTAACACCTTGTCCAGAAATTCCCAAGACACAGTATCATAAGCCTTTCTAAGATCCACCTTAATCATACATCTAGGAGAAACTCGCTTCCTAGCATATCCCCTCACAAGCTCTTGGGCGAGAAAGATGTTGTCAGCCATAAGCCTACCATCCACAAAAGCCCCTTGTGATGGATCAACTATACTAGAGAGACAAGGTCCAAGCCTAGCTGCCAAGATCTTGGTGATAACTTTATAGGTCACATTAGTACAGGATATAGGTCTAAAATCAGAAACTGAGGGAGAATGATTAGTCTTAGGGATTAGAGCTACCACAGTATGGTTAACTTGTTTTAGCATCTTCCCAGACTCAAAGAATTCTTTAACAGCTGCACACATATCCTCACCCACCATTCTCCAATTAGTTTTGAAGAAGGCAGATGAGTAACCATCCGGTCCAGGTGCCTTATCATTCCCAATGTCAAAGACAGCTTCTTTGATTTCCAATTCTGTTATAGGTTTAATGAGGTCCTCCACCAATGTTTGGTCAATCAATTTACCGGAGGCCAGAATGTTTGGATTAAAATCAAAAGAAGGACCTGTGGTACCTAAGAGACCCTTAAAAAAGCTAATAAACTCCTTTGCAACCTGGTCCATAGATTGGGTAAGAGATCCATCCTGTAACCTAATGGAAGCAATGGAGTTCTTAGCTTGTTTTTTCTTAACAATTGAATGAAAATATCTTGTACATCTATCAGCTTGTATTAAGTGGACAGCCTTGGCCTTTTGTTTGAGATAGGCTTCCTCGGCCTCTTTAAGAAAAAGAGCTCTTTTCTTAGCAACATTCATTTCCTCTTTAAGGGCATCATCATAGGGAGCCAAAAGAGCTAATTGATAGACTCTTTGGTACTCTTTTTTAGATTCCTTTGCTCTTGCCGAGATATGACTAAACTCATTCACATTTAATTGTTTTAGAGGCTGTTTTAGGAGTTTAAGTTTCCGGGCCAGCCGAAATTGAGCAGTCCCTTCCACATTCCTATTCCAAACCTCCTCTAAAATCCCACAAAATTGCTCATGTTTCATCCACATGTTAAAAAATTTAAAAGGTTTTGATCCACCATTGTTTGTAGTGCCAATGCTAAGTAAAGCAGCCACATGATCAAATTGGCATTCCATTTCAAAAAAGTGGGCTGTACATGCAATCCCATGGGTACTCCAATTAGGGTTGATAAGAATCCTATCCAACTTAGCCCAATTTGCACCCCTATTCCAAGTGAAAAATTCACCCGAGGAGGGGGCATCATCAAGAAAAGTTTTGATTTTCATCTCATTTAGATCCTTCATTAGGTAACCCGTGGGAGTGGCAGAGCCTTTTCTTTCATGAGGAGCCCCAACACAATTAAAATCACCCAACACAGCCCAAGAGCCAAGAATATTAGTGCTTAGCCTAGACAAATGATCCCACAACACTCTCCTTTCTAAGACCGTATATAGGGCATACATGTAACACCCCGGCCCCGTAGGCCCCGAGGTAGTTACTTCTGACCTCTAGTACTGTCCTCACAAACCGCCACTAGCCTTTTCCGCGCACTTTGTCCTCACTCGTGCGCGCCCTGAGAAACTTCCCAGGGGGTCACCCATCCCAAGACTACTCCCGTGCAAGCACGCTTAACTTTGGAGTTCTTGGGTGATGAGCTCCCTTTAAAGGAGATGCATCTTGTTGGTATGAGTAGTACTATTAATCCGTTTAAATTAAATCTCAAGTGTTACAATCACCCCCACTTAGGAACGCAACGTCCTCGTTGCGCCCATAAACCAATCTCAATCACATCCCAGAATCTTTTCCCCTGCTAAGTGCCCGCCCGATATCCAACGGATCAGCACACTGTCGCAAGGTTGTTCTGATACCATTTGTAACACCCCGGCCCCGTAGGCCCCGAGGTAGTTACTTCTGACCTCTAGTACTGTCCTCACAAACCGCCACTAGCCTTTTCCGCGCACTTTGTCCTCACTCGTGCGCGCCCTGAGAAACTTCCCAGGGGGTCACCCATCCCAAGACTACTCCCGTGCAAGCACGCTTAACTTTGGAGTTCTTGGGTGATGAGCTCCCTTAAAAGGAGATGCATCTTGTTGGTATGAGTAGTACTATTAATCCGTTTAAATTAAATCTCAATTGTTACAATACACAAAAGAGGTATAAAAATAAACTTGGGTTATTTTACACCTAAATCTAGCATGCACATGTTGGACATCAATTTCCAAAATATCATCATCAACAAAACAAGGATCCCACAAAACAGCTATACGCCCCCCTCCAATTTTATCAAAATTTGTGACATAGTTCCAATTAGGCAATCTAAATTTCATAAAATTAGCAAAACTAGTTATTGACATTTTAGTTTCAAGAAGACACATAATACGTACCTTATTTACTCTTATGAAGTTAAGGATATTATTTTGTTTTGAGGCTTGATTCAGCCCCCTTACATTCCAAGATGTGACTATCATAAAAACATGCTAGGTCTTCCTCCCCCTCCTTTTGCTCGGCAATTGCCTTTCCCATTGCATTCTCTTCCATCTTCTATATTCCTCACATCCCCTATACCTGGAAAGGAACAAATCATACACAAGTGTTATAAAGGTAGAGGAGAATTCATACCCTTGCTCGGTTGGAAATGCTCCGGGAAGTGATTTTAGGCAATCGGTGGTGAAGGTTATTCCTTTGTGTGCCAAGCTATCCTCCATCTCTAAATAGTTGTCAAGCCTAGTCATCATCACTTCCACATCATCACAATGCATGAGATGAATCCTCGGTTTTTCCCCTTCTTGAAACTCAATTTTTGTGATCACATCATCCAAGTATGCCTCTTTGATGTCTCTAACCACCCGGACTGTTTTTCTTGTAAACTTCCTCAAATCTTTGACTTTGCTACCATTTCCCATAAGGTGACCATCCTCAAAGTATCTATAAAGATAATGCCTATACACGCATCTCATAAAAGTTGAGGTATAGACATAGTCTTTCTTCTTTTTTCTCACACCCGGGAGGTTTTCCAAGCACTTTTTTGTGAAGTAGACCCCTGGTTTTGTATCATCTACAGCCTTAAGTAGGTGATTCAATCTGATTGTAGGCTCGGTAACATCATCAATATGTGCCACTTTGATGGTAGGCTCCCCATATTCATCCGCATCCATTTCAATGATGACTTCATCATCAAAGAAATCCTTGAAGCTTGTGATTCTCCTTGGTTGTTCCTCCTCATCCTCTTGTTCCTTTGATGTTTCATAACCCGAGGACACTTCCCCATCCTCCCTTTGTTGTGTCTTCTTTTTGGGCTTCCTCTTTTTCTTCTTCTTTAAACGGGCTGCTTTGATAAAGGGATGTTCCTCCTTTGGGACATAGGTCTTCTCCAATGCCGTGGCATTGGTGTTTTTAGCTACAGGTTGGGATGTGGATGCCGCGGCATTTGTAGTGCTGTCCACACCTTTCAAAGTACCCCCTTTGGTGCCGCGGCATTCTCTTCCAAAGCTATGCCCTTCCCTTTGTCAAGACCTCTCCTCTTGTCAACTTCAGTTTGGTTTTGTGTGCCTTGATCTAGCTTCTTCTTTTCTTCCCTTTCCTTCTTCTCCATCTCGGCTATTACTTTACAAGTAAAAGTATGATGCCCATGGGACTTACAATGGAAGCAAAAGTTAGGGAATGTCTCATAGATGACCTTTTGGATATGAAACCTCCCATTCGGTAGCCTTACTTTCAAAGTGAGAGGTGGCGGCTTAGAGGCATCCACTTCAATAAGTACCCTTGCATATTTAGAAATGGCTCTTTCTTGAGTTACTCTATCCGTGGTTAGAGGCATACCCACCCTTGAAGCTATCTCACTTATCACATCTTCATTCCGTATTTGCAATGGGAGATTAGGGAATTTCACCCATATTGGAACTTTCAAAAATTCCTCACTTTCAAAGGAGAAGTTATCCGAAAGTGTTTTGAGGTATAGTGATTTTCCAAATAATGTATGGGGTCCCTCCATGAGGACTTTGGATCGGTCTTGCTCACTTTGGAACTTGAAAATCACCCAACCCCTATCATGGGTTCTCACTTTGCACGGCACTCCCCATTTGGATACAAGCTCTTGGATAGGTTTGAAACCGGGGTACCTACCCGCAAAGTATCCTACAAGACAATGGCCCCAAATCTCCACCATGGAAGGCATGATTCTATCAAGCAAATCCACAAATTCACCTATGGGTTCAATAAACCGTAACTTCATTCCTTTAGTAGGCTCTCTATTGTCCTTGAACAAAGAGGCAAATGGCAATTTTATTTGTTTAGGAGTCTCGGCTTGTTGAGGGATTATTTGTTTACCCAAAGCAGCAACATAGAGATCATTAATATCACCCTCCCCTTGAATTTCTGGTTCTAAAACAGCCCCTATCACGGGTTCACCACAAGTACGAATCACCTCCAAATTTCCAATAGCTTGTGATTCGGTTTGTGTGTTCTCATTTTTTTTTGGATAAAATGTAAATGTATATATCCAGAAAAGTAGCATTATAAAATGCATCAAAAAGTCAAAAATATCTATCTAAGCTAGTCTAAACTAAGCAAAAATAGCATCTAACCATTCACCCCCACCATACGGCAGGGGTAGGGAGAGAAATATTTTCCAAGCTGGCACAGGACAATCCCCCGACTCAGCATCAAAACAAAGTCCAAAAAAAATCAAAGTAACAAACTGGAATGATCTCTATAGCCCAGCCCACCAATCAGCATAGAGACAGCTAATTAAAGCCAGCCAGCAGCCCTCAGCAGTCCAGAGAGCTCATCCCAGCAGCGGATCCAGGCCCAAGGTGCAGCCCCTTCCCAGCCCAATTCCAGCCTAGAGTCCCAACGCAGGCTAGGTTAAGGCATCGTTAACTTTCAGCGCCGCATAGGAGCGGCATCTTCGAGGAGCTACAGTACCCGACAAGACAGAAGTCGCTGGCAATCGCAGGCTTGTCGAGGCATGCCGTTGACTGTGCCGTTCAAACCTCCGGCGAAGCTCCGGCCGGTAACTCTCCACCCTATTCAAAAGCATTCCCATCGCCACGCTTGCAGTAGCACAAATCAGAAAAGTAACCACCCTCCACCCCCACGAGGCTCCGGCAACAAACCCGGCGGCAATGGCGGAGGGCAAATAAGACCCAGCCGGAAAGAAAGCCAAACCGGAGCTCCCCTCTCACCCCAAACCCCCGTTGGACCCCGGCGACCCCCAACGGCAATGGTAGAAGGCGACAGAGGCGGTAAGACAGTAGCCGGAAAACCCCCTTCTCTATCCGCCCTTCACCCCGCCAAGTTCCGGCGACCCTATAGCAGTCCGATCAGAAAGAGAAAGAGGCAAAAGTGACCAAGCCGGACAAGTAAACAGAACAGAACCATTTCCCGTAGCCGTCGGACATCCGGTACCCATTAACCTCCGGCGAGTCATCTCTACGCCCCACCGGGCCCTCTGTGAATCCCTGGACCCCTAAAGCAGTATCGGGCATTACCAGGGAGCATGGCCAGCACCTGTAGAACCCCTCTACAACCTCTCCTACACCGATGCTTAGCCATGAACGGCCATCAACTGCGAACATCGGAAGCTTTCGCCAAGGAGGAGTGCTGGTCAGCAGGAGATGGGACGATGGCCGGCCGTGAGAGCTCCATTAACGGACTGACCCAGAGTTCGGACAGCTTCAATTCACCATAGCTACTCACCTGTGGGTATACCCGGGAAGACCCGAATCTAGGCTTCCGCCACGGCTAGCCTGAGGAGGAAGACCAACCCCTCCCACAGACGGCGAAGAAAGCCAAACAAACAGTGGTCAAAATCGGAGGACCAACCGTCTGAACTTGGCCAGTCCAAACTATGAAAATGAAAGAGAGAAGACCCTAAGGATGCGAGAGACAGAGCTTACTTGAAGTTAATGGGTCCAATTTCCGGCGAACCACTGCCTTCAGCGAACTTCCCAGCAGCGAACATTATCCAGATCCAGTGAATCTGAGCCCAAGACCAATTTCCAAACACCAAACAAATCAAGAACATCCCACCTAGGTGGGATATTTTCCAAAAATTCGTAATGAACATCAAGAAACCCAGCCCACCGGAGCCAGGAGGGCTCTGGCGGCGGCGACCACCGTGAGTGGCGGCGCCGAGAGGAGGGGGAAGAGAGAGCAACCTAGGATCGAAATTCTAGTGAGAGACGCTCTCAACTCTCTCTAGAACCCTTCGGTTTGTGTGTTCTCATTTTCATTTAAGGGTGTTAAAGATGTTACCTCTGGGTCAGGAGGTTGAAGGGCAATTTCCGGTTGGATAGGCCTTGAAGAACCTTCGGAATAATAATAATACTAATACTAATAATAATAATAATAATAATAGTAATAATAATCATAATAATAATAATAATAATAATAGTAATAATAATAATAATAATAATAATAATAATAATAATCATAATAATAATAATAATAATAATCATAATAATAATAATAGTAATAATAATAATAATAATAATAAGAATAATAATAATACTAATACTAATAATAATAATAATAACAATAATAATAATAATAATAATAATAATAATAATAAGAATAATAATAATAATAATAATAATAATAATAATAATATTAATAATAATAGTAATAATAGTAATAATAATAGTAATAATAATAGTAATAAAAATAGTAATACACTGTATTTACGCTAAAAGTGCTCTATTTTCGCTGAAAACGCTAAATCATAGAGATAAGACTAAGTATTCGTAAAACTCATATCTTGTTGTGGGTTTATCCGTTTGGGGCGTATTATATCTCGTTGGAAAGATAGATCGGATCTCTAAAGCTATTGTTCCAACTTCATTTACAATGCATTAATTAAAAGTTACAGATTAACCATATATTCACAAATGTTTCTGATTTCACTCCGAACTCGTGTAGAATTTGATGCGATCACATCTTGCTCTTTGTTGTGCCATTGAAAGCGTTTAATATCTCGTTTGAAAGATCATACCGAGTTCTAAAACTTGTCTTCAGGCGCTGGTTTCAAAAAATCAAGGGATTATTGCCTAATTACTAAAATACACTGTATTTACGCTAAAAGTGCTCTATTTTAGCTGAAAACGCTAAATCATAGAGATAAGGCTAAGTATGTGTGACACTCATATCCTGCTGTGTGTTTATCCGTTTGGGGCGTATTATATCTCGTAGAAAAGATAGATCGGAGCTCTAAAGCTATTGTTCCAACTTCATTTACAATGCATTAATTAAAAGTTACAAATTAACCATATATAAACAAATGTTTCTGATTTCACTCCGAACTCGTGTAGAATTTGATGCGATCATATCTTGCTCTTTTTTGTGTCGTTGAAATTGTTTAATATCTCGTTGGAAAGATCTTACCGAGTTCTAAAACTTGTTTTCAGGCGCTGGTTTCAGAATATCAAGGGATTATTGCCTAATTACTAAATTACACTGTATTTACGCTAAAAGTGCTCTATTTTCGCTGAAAACGCTAAATCATAGAGATAAGGCTAAGTATTTGTGACACTCATATCTTGCTGTGTGTTTATCCGTTTGGAGCGTATTATATCTCGTTGGAAAGATAGATCGGAGCTCTAAAGCTATTGTTCCAACTTCATTTACAATGCATTAATTAAAAGTTACAGATTAACCATATATTCACAAATATTTCTGATTTCACTCCGAACTCGTGTAGATTTGATGCGATCATATCTTGCTCTATTTTGTGCCGTTGAAAGCGTTTAATATCTCGTTGGAAAGATCTTACCATTTTCTAAAACTTGTCTTCGGGCGCTGGTTTCAATTTTTGGGTAAAGGGTAATTATATATATCATCCAAAAGAGTTTATGTACAGGTAAAGCAAAATGGGGGAACAAAAATGGGGCTATCCCAACATGGGATATACCATAACCTATGAGCTATACAATCACTCCCAAAGCACAAAAATAGAGGGGCAGTCTGCCACCTCACACAACCATGGCCAAAAATACAAAAAAGAGGGGCATTGAGCCACCTCACGCCATCAAGTATCAAAACATAATAAGTTCATGTGGGTAAATACTATAAAGGGTCTTATACACCATGTATTGGATCCTAGCAAAAACTTCCTCCACACAATCTTTGGCTGCATCAAATCTTGTTGCATTTCGTACTCTCCATATCCAATAGATGGTATAGATGAATGCAATACGGACTGTTTTGGCCTTGATCCCCGCACCTCCGTAGTCCTTCTTGATCCATTTCACCGAGCTATCCAGAGTTGTCATAAGCCTAGGCATTCCAATCCAAGCTCTCACTTTGTTCCATATTGTAATTGTAAATTGACACTCAAAGAATAGGTGTGATACCGTCTCCGGTTCACCCTTACAAAATGGACATAGGTTAATCAATTCAAGCCTACTAAGATTGTCATACGTTGCTAGGCGATTTCGAAAAGCAAGCCAAGCAATGAATGAGAACTTAGGTGGAATATAGGCCTTCCAAATAAAGGCCATCCATACATGCTTAGTACCCTTGGTTCTAATCAAGTCATAAACTTTGGAGGAGCACAATTTACCATTTTGGGAAAGCTTTGCGAGGCCATCAATTGTGCTCCCAATGGACTCATATTTGGAGATTAAGAGGTCCCGGATCTGCCCAATCTTCTTCATAAGTTGGGAGTCCCTAGTGTGTGGGGAGAAATCCCACACACATCTCCCCTTAAGATAGACCCCATGTACCCATTTCACCCAAAGCATGTCACGCTTAAGGTGGATATCCCACAGGGTCTTGGAAAGTAAGGCATTATTCCAAGTTTTGGTGTGTCTAATACCTAATCCCCCTTCCTCTTTTGGGAGACACATGTCAGCCCAAGCCACCCTTGCAAATTTACACCCCCAAAAGAATACACGACAAAGTGAAGTCACCCTATCAAGGATGGCTTGAGGTATAGGGAACACCTGTAACCAAAAAGAGTGTACACCTTGGATAACAGATTTGATTAGTTCAGTTCTACCAGCATATGACAAACTCTTGGTATTCCATGAATTAAGATAGTTTGAAATTTTTTCCAAGAGGGGGGCATATTCGACCATAGAAAGTTTTAGGGGGGACAATGGGATCCCAAGGTATTTGACCGGGAATGCACCAACCTTGAAATCCACCAAATCAAGTATAGCCGAGAGTTCATTGTCTTTAACCCCACCCAAAAAAATGTTTGATTTTTCAAAATTGACTCTTAAACCCGAAACATCACCAAAGTCATTAAGTGCATCAATTAAGATCTTGATAGAGTACGTGTCACCTCTACAAAATAACATAAGATCATCAGCGTATGCAAGATGTGAGATTTTCAAGCTACCACATTTGGGATGAAAATTAAACCCAGACATAGTTCTCATGTTTAGAAGTCTAGACAGGTATTCCAAGCAAAGCCCAAACAAAAGAGGGGACATAGGATCCCCTTGTCTAAGGCTCCTCTTCCCACGGAAGAAACCATGTAAGGTCCCATTTAGGGAGATTGAAAAAGAAGGAGTAGAGACACACTCCATTATCCAATTAACAAATTTCAAAGGAAAGCCAATGTTAAGAAGTACACTTTTAAGAATGTCCCAAGAGATGGTATCATAAGCTTTCCTAAGGTCCACCTTAATCATACATCTAGGAGAGCAATGCTTTCTAGTGTACCCCTTAACAAGCTCTTGTGCCAAGAAAATGTTATCCATCATAAGTCTACCATTAACAAAAGCCCCTTGAGCATGGTCAATCAAGCCCGATAGACATGGAATCATTCTATTAGCAATAATCTTAGTGATGACCTTATAGATAACATTTGTACAAGCAATAGGTCTAAAATCTGAAGCCATGGGAGAGTGTGAGGTCTTAGGAATTAAAGCAATAATCGTGTGATTGATTTGCTTCAATAGCCTACCCGAATCAAAGAAACCATTAACAGCTTCTATAACATCATCTCCAACAACAGCCCAGTTTTCTTTGAAAAACGCAGAAGTGAACCCATCTGGCCCCGGGGCCTTGTCATCCCCAATGTCAAAAATAGCATTCTTAATCTCAATGTCTAAGATGGGAGCAATGAGGCCAGAGGTCTGCCCTATGTCCAGACATATCCCAGATTGAATGATACAAGGATCAATTGGAGGACAACTTACCGGAGTACCAAACAAGTTCACATAAAAATTTTCCAGTTCATTTGCCACTTGCTCAATGGAAGATGTTAGCTCACCATTAGGTAGTTTTAAGGCTGTAATGGAGTTCCTTGCAGCCTTCTTTTTCACAAGGGAATGGAAATACTTGGTGCATCTATCCCCTTGGAACAAGTGTGTAGCCTTCGCTTTTTGTGTAAAAAAAGCATCCTCGGCCTTCTTAAGGAAAAGCACTCTTTTCTTAGCTAGTTGGAGTTCATTCTTTATGGTATCATCTAAAGGAGAATGTAAGAGAAGGTTGTGAAGCCTCTTAAATTCTAATTTAGATTCCTTTACCTTAGAAGAAATATGTCCAAACTCAACGTTATTAAGTTCCTTGAGTGGTTTCTTAAGTGATTGTAATTTCTTAACCAATCTGAATTGTGCATTTCCACAAACAAATTTAAACCAATGTTCATGGAGAATGGTGGGGAATGAATCATGTTTAAGCCACATATTGAAAAATTTAAACGGTTTAGACCCCATGTTAGGGTTAAAACCGAAAGTAACCAAAGGGGCTACATGATCAAATTCCACCTCCAAGGCATGAAAATGAGTTTTGCAAGCAATACCAATAGAACTCAAAGTAGAATTCATCAAGACCCTATCCATTTTGGCCCAAAGAGAACCCCTATTCCACGTGAAGAACTCACCGGTGGAAGGAGTGTCTACAAGGCTTGTATTGATTTTAAAATCAACAAGATCTTGAATGAGATAAGCCGAGGGGGGGATAGGGCCGACCCTCTCATTAGGACTACTTACACAATTGAAATCACCCATGACAAGCCACGGCCTATCAATGTTTGATCCCAAATTGGCAATGTATTCCCAAAGGCTTCTCCTTTCCAAAACCGTGTTTAAAGCATAAACAAACGTGATTACAAAGGAAAGTTGGGTAACCTTACACACACACTCACAATGAATGTGTTGTTTGTCTACCTCAATCACATTAAGATCCACATATGAAGTATCCCACATCAAGGCCATAC